TGGGGGGCTTCTTAATTAAACAGAGCGAAAATTACTCACAGTGAACGGGGATCCAGTGACATCACGGGTGTAGTGGGACGTGGAGAAGCTGCTGAAGCAGAAGAGTAAAATCCAGCAGAATGGAACCACGCACTTGCTGGCCATGACTCGGTGTGGCACGGTGCACCAGAGGGCGCCAGCAGGGGGAGAAGGTAACACAGGATTTTCACGCCACGCCGAGCCCGGTTCCAAACACAGGAGTAGGAGGAGCCACGGGGCGTGGTGAGTGGGTGGGTGGTTGGAGGGAGGGGGGGGGTGTTATAGTTCCCGGTGAAATCACTCTTTTTGAAATCTTGAGATCAAAACTTTTTCTCTGTCCCTCTTGCCTAAAGAAATGTTTATAAATATATGTAGGCCTATTATCCTTCACCCGTCCTAGCGCCTGTGTAAGGTATAATACTGCACACCATTCTGAAGGAACTGTACCATGTACACTCTGGTTTCTCTTTAGTTTTCCGTGAACACTTTAAGCAGAAAACAGGTGGTGCCACGAAATTTTAACTGGCTGCTTCCGACTGATTCTGCTGAAAATAAAAACAGGATGAATAAATTAGAAAGTCGGAGAGGAAATGAAATAAAAACACAAAAATAACGAACAAAATTAATTAAATAAAAATGTCACTGCCCCAATGTAACTCATAATATGTCTAAACAACTCAGATGTAAACAGTAACAAAAACGGACTGGTTCACAAAGTGTAATCCAAAAGACCTCTTTTGTAACATGCTCTCAATTACGGGAAACCTATACCATTTAGATCTGAACGTACGTCGATTCTCATGTAGCTCCCAGTAGTATACTGTTTCTTCGCGCATTTATTTTAACACTACAACCGACAATTAAGACAATCCTGGCCATTGAGCCGAAATAGGGTAGGCTATACGAGGTGCGCAAAAAGCCTTGAGTAGCATGTGTTCAAATAGCCGACAGGCGCTTCGAGGATCACGTTCAAATTGTTAGCAGACGATCAAAAGCGCAGTGTAACGTGTCAGACCCACATCATAAAACAAGCCAAGACATGACCAGTCAAGTCTTCTATTTCAATTATTGCAGTGCCTTGATCGATATCGAAAGCGGGTACGCTCCACAGACACACGGGGTAATAAGTAACCGATACACAACAAGTGCTACCGAGTGACTCAGCCGATACTGTCATCCCTGGTCTTCAAGATTTCATTCATGTATAACGTTCTTGCTTTCAGGGCTCAAAACGCTTCAGATTCCGAGCGAATAATTCTGTTCCACAAAACGGTTGGGTAAGGTGAACTTTTACAGAAAAGCAAAGCAAGAAACTCCATGATTTCGTGCAGTCAGTTGTTTTGTTGTTGTAGGTGGATTTTTATTTTTATTTTATCAGAGTAAGCCTATAATTCAAATAACCATTCAGCAGCCAACTTTTTTTTTACGCACGAACTTTACCCAGTCGGCACTGATATCGAATAACGACGTCACACAGTCTGTCGGAACTCACACATATCCGATCCCTCACTTCAAAATACATTGTACATGTACATCATGTATCACTTAGAAACGCTCCGCCCTTCCCCCAAGACCCACAGGCCTACAGTGCACGTCTGCACGAGCCATAGATGGTCTATAACATGAGCTGGGCCCGCCGTGCTCGACTGAACCAATCAATATCGAACGTTAACTCAGATGACCGAGGTCGATTGCCTTCACCGCAGTTGCTTTTGCTTGCAGTTGCAGCGCTGAGTCTGATGGAAGATTATCAAATACGAAACGAATACCCATACCACGTCTTTCTATTACTAAGCCGCTATATCTTCCTGTAAATTCTACCGCCATGCCCCAATTACAGTCTTTGCTTTCCCAAACGTCAGCTCAAGCATAAGTCATGAGTAATACATTAGCGCCACACACAGGTAAATTACCGTTGAGAGAGAGAGAGAGAGAGAGAGAGAGAGAGAGAGAGAGAGAGAGAGAGAGGTGTTTCGGAGTGTACTATGGGTGTGCTTGGGTAATAAGAGTTGTAAAGCGCATAGAGTATGCTGCAGAGCGTGGATATGCGCTACATAAATGTTATTATTCTTATCATTATTAAGAGTTAAGGTCCAACAAACAGGTCATTTTGAAGGCGGGTCTCACTCAATAATAATGGGGGCTTCCGGGTTCTTTTCTTTTCTTTTGGCAAAACAGGATCTTCGGTCGACAGGCCGAGCAGTCATAATCTACTAACAGCAAGAGAAAGCAAAACCTCTGGTCAGAAACAACAGCTATGGAGAATTTTTAAAAAAGCAGAACCTACTAATGGCAGTTTCCAACAAGGAAGAACATCAGGACAGAAAGCAAGTACTAAAAACAAATTTCTGGCGTATGACCGGCACTTGACTCCTTAGAAATTTGACAGAAGGCTACAATCCATGTATTTATACCCCAAGGACGAGCAAGAGAAACGCATTTACGTTGCAAATGTCTGACAATTAGCACATTATAAATTATTGTAGTGGACAGGCATCTGTTGATGTTTGCTAATTAACCCTATCTGTACGTCGTGTTTTACTATCGTGTCCATACGACGTGGGGAACTCTGTGCCACCACTTTCCAAAGAGGAAATTTAGTCGTTAATCCGATCCGTACGCCAACGCTTTGCATAGCAGTCGGTCAAAGTGATTTTTTAAAGAAATACTGAAGGTTTCAAAGAGATCGTCATACGAGAAGTATTCTAAAATGTGAAGAATACAACCCCGGGGTACAAAATGACCCCAGGACGTACGGGCAGAGTTAAAAAATCATTCTTTCTTTAAGTGCAAGTGCTTTTACGCCCGTATCGACATGATTTAGATCATTCAGGAGGCCGGCTCCGACCCTGCCTGTCAGGGCCAACCAGGGCTGAGAGGGATACAGCACCTCAGCAGAAAAACCGAGATACACGCACTCGAAAAAAAAAAATCATCCCCACATAATAATCGAACTCGGGTTTCCTATGTGCAACCAATGATAGTACATAACAAGATGGGCCACTTCTCTCTTTGAGCCAATTAAAAAAGTGTCCTCAAAATTTGGTGGCGCCCTCTTCACAAAAGCGCACTCTTTGCGAACAGAGTTACCCTACTTGAGTTTAAAAAAATAAAAGTGACACTAGCAAGTTTTGGGATAAATTTCGGAAGAACGCTTTTTTAAAATGGTTACGCTGACAAAAAACCTCTTCCGGAGGAGAGGGTGATGGTTTTCTTCGTTTAATTTGACTTTAGAATGTGAAAGGCGAGAGGTCATTAAAATATTTTTAAAAACTAAAACTCCGCACTGAACGTACCCGAACTGCTGATGAACAGCAGTCGATCTGCGCACGCAAGGAGGTGCTATTCCTATTCTTCTTCTGGAAAAACGAACGAGAGCTTCAAAACAGACTGTAGCGCCATCTGAAGCAAAGAGCATACTTCCTGCGGACACTTTTTTGGCTGAGTGGCCCATCTTGTTATTTACTATCTTTGGTGCAAAGACAAAGTGTCAAACCGCTACACCACAGAAGCAGGTTATACTAATGAGATGAATAATACATCTCACGCAGAATAATGTGTATATATTATATAGCCCCCATTGCTATCAAAAGTACATGAGCTCGACGGAAACGAGCAAAACGGACACAACAGTATCGCTTTTTTTTTTCTTTCTACATTTACCCCGACGATATTTCTTTTAATGCGAGACGTCCTTTTCCATGACCAAACTGCCGGACTATCATTCTGTACAAATATTGAACGACTACTGCCAAGCATAGCATCGCTGTGTTATTTTCTCGTGAACAAATTGAAACGCCTTCACAAGCTCTAGGTTCCAGGGGCATAGACCTACATGGGAAAACATTTATTTAAAACACACTCCTTTTTATTGGTTTGAGTATAGAGAAGAAAATCAAGACAATAATAGTTATATTAGTGCAGGGGGGAAAAGTAAGACAGAAAGAAACAAGAGAGGGCAAAGTGAAGAAGTAGGACCAACCAGTGCAGTGGCGCCCTCCAACCACCTGCACGCCTCTGGACACACTTTTCCACGCGCTGTTCTGATAAACAATGTAATCTGTTCACAAAGGCTGCGAGTCAACAGTGTGGCTGAAAACGTTTATTTTTCTGTTTATCTATCAGTATTAGTGGTGGTTGGAAAGAAACAGGTGGGGGGGGGGGGGTTAAAGTCCCCTGCAAAGTGCATTGTTAGGAATACAATTTGTATTATCAATCCCACTTGCTGTGGGCATTTCACATTGAAAAGGAACATTTAAGAGACATTGGCTGATGCAGGTACAAGAGTATGCATGGGCATGACATTTTAAATATCATGTTGTCCCAATGGATACCCTCTCAGATGCTGAGCGCGTGCCTCAATTCTAACCAGATGAGGTTTTAAAATGTTTGCATTTATTTATTTATTTTATTTTACTTTCTTTTTTTTGGGGGGGGGGGGGGTGGCGACAGTAAGCAATTTCATCAACGCTTTTTTGACATACAGGCTAGAAATTATGAATGCATTAAGAGGAGAAAAAGGTGTGGCTGTGCATTTATTCTGAAACAATGCTATTACCGATGTGAAATGAGCATTCTCAGACAGAACAAAAAGTGTTTGCTCTAGACGTCTTAAATCTTTATGATATCCATTTGGTAAACTTGTTTATAATTGAAAGAATGCCAGGTTAACAAGTACACGAAGGATTTGGACAAAAAAGAAGCAAAAGTATGATGCTGGCAGAATAAACACATGGTTCAAAGTGAGATATGAGTATAACATTACAATTTTTTTTAAACATCATAAAGAGACCATTGTAGGCACAAATCAGTATGTTAGCTCTGAAATAAAGCAACATTGGAATCATCAACGTAATTTTCGAATCTGTCATCTACTTAATTTTAAAAAGCATAGAGAAGAAAAACAACAAAATAAGAGACAAATGAAGTCAAGGTCTCAATATAATATTCGGTCAACTTTTTCAAATAAAACTGGACAACACATTATGATTGCATCACAAAACCAACTTGGAATAAAACATAATATGCTATGTACAGTCGACAGGATCTGAGACAGGTTTGGATCACATTAGAGCTTTCACCTCGTCAAAGGGCTCACAACGTATTCATCAAACAACTGACACTTGTTAATTCTTCAAATCAGAGCTGCATTTGTGGCTCTGAACCGACATGGAAAAGAAGTTTTTTGTTCTGAATAGGTAACTTATCAATAAGAATTCAAGCAAGTTTTGAATTACTTTAATTCCGGACAGATTGATATATACTGCAATAATTTATCACATGGGAAGGGAAAGACTTTACAACCTCAGGTTTCTGCAATTCCAAGTTCAACTGTACTACACCCTCAACTGCAACTCAACCACCCTTGCTATCAAAAATATGATTATATTTCCCTGTCTATATCACAAATAGTAAAAGACTATAGTTAATCACTAGTCATTTTAAACAGTTCATCAGCAAAACTGAGGGCAGAGGAGAGAGTAATGTTTCATGTCTCCGCTTACTATTTTTTCACAGCATAACTTTTCTGATATTGTTAATATAAATTAAGACTAAATATTGAAGCAAACCCAAACATGATTAAAAGGGGCAACTGCATAACCTTTCAGGTACTACATTCCACTAACTTGAAGTCATAGAGACGAGGGGAGAGCTATTTTATAATATAACAAATTTTACATTAATATCCCCGAAACATGTCAGTAAATCAACACCAGTGCTAGGGATTTCGCTTGCCGTACAATTCACAATATTCATCTTAACAACGCAAGTATTGTACAGTCAAACCTGGGAAAGACGGAATCGCAAAGGAGCCAGAAAAAAATTGTGTCTTAGAAAGAGGAATTTAGGGGGTGAAAGAGTGTATGGAGTGTGTGTGTGGAGGGGGGGGGTGATGCTAGGCATTGTATAGCTCTTTAATTGTTCATTTGAATCCCATTTTACATCCGTTTTGACTCAATATAATATCTGTCGCAAATTATTGGTTTTCTTTAGATATTTGATGCTTTTATGTGAACTTTCACACATTCATATGAAAAAAAAATGTTGGGACCAGTTGACGTTTCTCATAGTAATATTTGGCAGTGTGTAAAGATATGAAACATTCCCAATCAATTTCTTTGCACTTGTCATTGCTTACATAATAGACATGGTGTAACATGGAATACACACATTTGTTTTGTGAAAAAATTTGGCATTGCACAGCTCAGATACAAAAATAAAGAACCATACAGATCTAGGGTATTAATTAAGCTTTAAAAAAAACATTGTGAAAGAAAGAAAAAGAGAAAACCTTAGGAAATTTGTTTTCTCTGTCAAAATAAACCAAGGTTGCTTAGAACAAAACACTGACAGAAGGTTAAATTTAACGATGCTTAGCTGCCACTCATACCGTGATCAGAGATACCACAAGAAATTGACATGCCCAAAACATCCAAGCAATAACTCTGGTATAAGAACAATACTAATAGAAAACCACAGGGACTCCTTGTAATTGGTAAGCTTGATGCATTCAGGTATGGGAGATGGAGAAGGCAGCAATGAGAACAGGTTGGTTCTGTTTACAGATAAATCTCCGTTCTGAGAAAGGGACGACCATGGGTGTGGTTTTGAGGAAGCTGTTACCACACCCATGTGAATACTGAGCTACAGATGGTCAGGGGTGCAGTATCGGTGTGAATTCTCAACATTAGCTTGTCTTCAAAGTTTTTAAGTGGTGCACCAGCACTGAAACTTTCCTTGGTAGGAGAAATTTGACTGCTACTGCTTTCTGCCCTGATAGTATCCATCATCGATGCCGAAAAAAATTCCGCGAGAAATTGTTACATGCAGGGGAAGAGTGGTGTGGCATGGGTTAATTCTTTTGTGCTAATTACATCGAATGGTGGGGCAAAGGGTGAAAGCAAAGGAGACGTTCAATCATTTCTGTTTCCGTCCAAAAGAGATGCAAGCACTGATCGTGGCAATGGATTAGTGATTAGTAGTATTTTCAGTAGTAAGTCTGAAACATGTCATTATCAGAGTGGCTAGGCAAGCACTTGGGAGGTGTAAAGTTTTGACCACTAGGCTAACTGTCGACCGGAGACGAGAGGTGACCCTTGATCTCTTGCTTTAAATTACAACAGCCCCCCACCCCCAATACATTCCCCTGTCCAAGACGGAAAATACCAAAGGTTGAATTTATTTCTGGCTGTCTTGCAATTCCATCTTGAATCTTGTGTACATTGACTATTTTGAAATGGGTGAAAACGGAGTACCGGTACAAGTAGGCCTGTACTGTATAGGAAGTACAATCCAGTAGCTTTTCTTTTTAAAAGCACACAATAATGCAGCACTAGTGGATGCATTTGATTCTCATCAGTCAGTCGCCTCTCATTGTCATTGTGCCAGGTCCGTTATGACGTTACCAAAATTTATTAAATTAATGAAAGTAAGATGTAACGGTAAGATATAGACTAAAGAACTAGAGGGATCATCCTATATAGATCCTATAATAGAGATCTATATATATATATATATATATATATATATATATATATATATATATATATAATATAAAATCTTAAACCGGACTACTCGTACATTATTGAGCGAGAAAGTGGGGTAGGTGGGGCGGGTGGTTGGGGTGGAGGAGGGGGGAGGGGGGGTTCAGGGGGGTCTCCCCCCTGACAAAATTTTAATGAATAGATCTACCGGTCCGAGATTCTCCATTGAGAGAGATATTAAAAACGGGCAAATTATGAATTTCTAAGCCTAAGGTTGAGACATATAGATCTAGGCAAAGTCAGTCCGCTGGTCCGGTATTCTTCAATCTTACCTCTTAAACTACAAAGATCTAGAGTATCTGAAGATCAGGTCTGTCAAGACGAAGATTCATGGCCCTCTACGACGAGCACTGTTGTGGAATCTAATCTAGACTTAGATTCTAGATCGAGGAAGTGCCGAGCGAAATGCTGTCAACGAAAAGAAGTGCGCGTCGTGGCAGGATAAAAAAATCTTGTTTTCCTCTGATTTTGTTCTAAATTTGCAACACTTTACTACAGCAGTCTACATAGAATGCCAGAGGGTCTAAAACACTAAAATTAATTCATGAATAGAATCGAGGAAGCATATTTTTTTCAAGCAAACATACCTAGATTCTAGATCTGCCTCTGTCTTGTTCGTGAAGACACGAGTGCTGTCACGATGTCACTGTCTCTACGGCCAGTAGCTTTGTTTACTGTTTACATTTCAGGAATGCAGAGGTAGCGACTTCCTGTGGAGCGCGTTTCGAATCTTGGCTATTGCAGAGAGAGACCCAGCGGGGTTTACATTGCTTGGTCTCTGCTATTATTACATGTATTACTATTAGATCCGTATTACTGTACTTTGCTATCCCCACCTCGTTTGAAAAAGCAGAAAATGTTCGTGTTTTAGATTTACCCATTAAAACCCGTAATATAGATCTCATCTACATTTTTATTGCTATTTTCTTGCTATATATCTACCCCTTTTCTATGGTGTTTGTGTTCTGTTGTGTTGTGGTGTGTGTGTGTGTGTGTGTGTGTGTGTGTGTGTGTGTGTGTTTGTGTGTGTGTGTGTGTGTGTGTGTTCTTTGGCCCGTTGTATGTGCATAGTAACTTTGGTCAATTGAATTGTCATGGATTTTCGGCGGCATTCACATGTGTAGCTCAGTTAGCAGGTGGGAAGCACAATAATTCATGTAGGCCTAATTAAATGGTTGCTATTTTTCCTAATTCATTTAAAACAAGTTGGGACAGTCCATTTTAAAGATCCGCAGCACCGTCAATCAGTTTGGAGAAATACTGTGACACTGAACTCGACAATCGAGCACTTTATTCAAGAATAATGAAACGGTACACCGCCAATTCATTATTATAATTGTATTGTATGCAGAGAGCGGTTTTGGCACGAAATATAAGTGACACTTTTGCAGCAAATAAGTATTTAGGCCAACACATGAGAACATAACCACCATAATAAAAAGGAGAAGATGGAGATGGATTGGGCATGTTATCTGAGAAGAGAACCAGACTCTATTGTGAAGACTGCCCTCCACTGGACACCCGAAGCCGACCCAAAGTGATCTGGAGACGCACAGTAGAGTCTGAAATGAAATCCTGGAATCATTCGTGGGGGACGCTGACCAAGATGGCCCAAAACAGACAGAGCTGGAGATCCTTTGTTGCTGCCCTAAACACCAGATGGCGTAACGGGTAGTAAGTAAGTAATGAGAACATAATATATTGCAGTGAAATTTGGAGAGTCGATTTTCCTCATGACCATGATATACTTGTGAGCAGCCAAACTACGCAACATAATATAGAAATTCTAGAAACTAAAGCTCACGGTTTAGTCCTGTGGGAGATTAGGGAAAATATTTGTGTTGATGCAGAGGTAAAGATTTAGCCTATATGACCACTTGCTGCCCGTGTGTGTGTTTCAGTGTGTGTGTGTGTGTGTGTG